AGGGGTTAGTTAGGATTTAGGCTTTAGGGGTTTAGGGGTTTAGGGGTTTGGGGTTTAGGGGTTTAGGGTGTAGGGGTTTAGGGGTTTAGGGTTTACGGTTTAGGGGTTTGGGGTTTAGGGGTTTAAGTTTAGGGTTTAGGGTTTACGGTTTAGGGTAGCTCCCCAATACCCAACCTTTGAACGTTTTGGGTTCTTATAATTTAGTAGTAATCTGCAAGTTTAACCTTTTATTTCCCCCGGCTTGTTGGGAAAGCAAGCTAAGCCCTCAACCTTCTTGGAGTTTGGTCTCGAGTTGTTCGAGGTTAAGGTGTATTTGAGGGTTTAGGGTTTCTTTTGTTTGGGGTTTGTGGCCGAGCCAGGATTTGGGGTATCGGGTTCGAACATACGATTGGGGTCCGAGTAACTAGTAGTACTCCTAGTATATAAGTAGTGCTACTCCCGGATAGTAACCCCAACCCTAAACCCTAAACCCTAAACCCCTTTACAAAGCCCTGAAGCAACCTCAACAGACGGGTTTTGGGTTAATATGCATACATCCTTAGGGTTTAGGGTTTAGGGTCCATCTCAACCCACAGGTGCATTGGAGCATGGCTCCACGATGCTCGATTTCCGGACAACTATGAAAGACCTTCTTCCGAGCTGGAAGCACTGCAGCCCCCCGCCTTTGCTTTATAAGGTTGTTGAAAGGATTTCGATAGGGGTGTTCGCGATGCTTTTTCGGTGTTTTTACAGGGTTTTACGTTTTTGTTTGTATGGTCGAGTGTTGCAGGGGTGTTTGGGTTAGGCCTCGAAATCAAGAATGAGGCATGGACGTTGTCTCTGAAGCTCTAAAACCAAACCCACCACCTCCGATTAACATACGGCCATTAAACGTTAATCGCCAACTAGCAGGGGTTCCGAAACAGACATACTATGACGGAATTGAACAGAGTAGTCTTCATGCATAAAGACAAGAGCACAAGCCGCACATAGGGCGAGACCTAAACCCATAACCCTAAGTGTGCGTAAACCGCAAACCCCAAACCAAACACCCTTGAACCCTAAACCGTAAACCTCAAGTCCTATATTTCCCTAAATCCGAAGTCTAAGACCCTAAGCCTGTAAATCCGGAAGCCATGACCCCTAAGCCCTAAACCTTCAACCCTTAAGCCTTAAACCCTCCAGCCGTACACCCTAAACCTGGGTTTAGGGTTTGGGGTGTAGGGTTTGGGGTTTAGGGTCCTTTCCAGGACAGCTAAGTGCCAGTTTGCCCCGGCGACTGGAGCTGGAAGAGCTCGCGTGGGTCCTCCAAAGAGAGCCTTGCAACCAGGCGGGTTTAGGGTGTTCCGAGTTTTCGGTGTTTCAGGATGTTCGGTTTAGGTCTTTCGGTGTTTTGGGGTTTGGGGCCTAGTGTAGGGTTTTTGGGTTTCGGAGTTTGGGGTTTTGGGCTGTAGTCTAGGAAAGTTTAGGGTTTAGGGGGAAGCCTTGCAACTTGCAATCAGGAGGTGTTTACGTCAGTATTAACTGACTTCAAGATGTTGTCTGCGGTCTTGTTATTTATCGTCCTGCAAAGAAAGCCTTGCAATCAGACACGTTAAGGGGCTTGCTGTTTAGACTGCCGGGTTTTCCGTGGTCTTGCCCTAAACCCTTGGCAGGATGCTCTTTGCGGCCGCCCGCCGATGTTTCTGAAATTTCCTCATCGAGTCCGGTTTAGGTTTGAGGTTAGGGCTTAGGGCTTAAAGGTTGTTTGGTCCAAGATGCCTATTGGGGCAGGGCGTCGGTTCCTGAACCCAAGATCCTGAAATCCAGACCTCGCAACCTCAATCCCAGAAAGGCTGAAATCCGCAACCCCAAGCTCTGAACCACTGGTCAACATGCGAGAGAGTGCTCGTGGCACCCTCGGCAAAGTCTCAACAAGAGGGGCCCTGGCTTCTGCAGCGAACAAATACCACCCCGCGTACTTGGAGGCCCAGGGGACTTAGTAAGTCGGTTATAAGTAGGGTTATACTTGGGGTAACTCCAGTTAGGGTACTTATAACTCTACTTTTAACCTACTTACTAAGTCCCTTGGGCCTCCAAGTACCCCTACTTGGAGGTTCATGGGTAGCTACAAACGGGGCTAGAAGTCCCCTCATGTGGCTTGTACTTTTAAGTCTGGTTTCCCAACTTATACCTTAACCCCAAATATCCTACCTTTTTAAGGACTTGTATAAAGATTTCATAGTAAGGGGCGCTAAAAATGCAGGTCCTTTCGGGTCCAGGTAGCCCCTAAACCCTAAACCCTAAACCCTAAACCCTAAACCCTAAACCCTAAACCCTAAACCTTACCCCCACCCCCTAAGCTGAGACTCCAGAGCTCTCATAAATACCCGGAGCTGGCCCTCAACCCCCGAAACCCCAGGCCCTAAACCCGGGCACCCCAAACCCCAAATCCCAAACCCCAAATCCTAAACCCTGAACTTTAAAACCCAAACCCTAATTCCCAAACCCTAAACTTTCAAACCCGAAACCCTCAATCCTAGCCTACTCAACCCCTAAACCGTAAAGCGCCAGCCCTGCAAGCCGGGAAGGTCGTGATGTTGAGGGTCTCGGGCGGCCGCATAGAGGACCTTCCTAGCGACCCCAACATCTTCTCAGAGAGCCCCATACCTCTTAATTAGGGGCTTAGGGTCTGGGGTTTAGGGTTCAGTTCAGGGTTTAATTAGGGTTTAGGAAAATACTCTAAACCATCATGTTAAGTCCCTTATAGTGTTCAAGGTATGTTGTTTAGTTAAGGGGTATTGGGCTCTCTGGCTTCTGCTTCAAGTAGGAATATCCCGTTACTTTGGGTTTTGGGGTCAAGTCTGGAGGGCTTGGGACTGCCAATAATAGAGGTGCCTTTAATAACCTTATATGTACTACTATTTGGGGTCTCCTTATTATCATTCCAGTGTTGAATTACCTATGCTATTTTTTTGGGCTCCTGATTATCATTATAGTATAATATACCCCAAAACCCTCTTCCAATTATTAAGGCCCCTACGTTACTTCAAGTAGGTGGAGATCCCAATAGTTTGGGTTTAGAGCGTTTATGATGAAGGTTTCATGATGCTTCGTCTATCGGGTTACATCAAGTCGCCGCGATGGCTCTATAGGCGCGACGCCAATAGCTTCAAGTAGTCGATATCCCGTGCGGTGTTTATGAGGATTCTTTGGGGTTCTACACGGTCCTGAGGATGGCTCTACAAGGATTAGACTACCCCTAGTTGGACTTACCTCGTATTCGGCACCAGTTTGATATAACGTATACTCCTTAATCGCAGGAACTACCACGACTTGGGAGTTGCTACCGGTTGCCTGTACCGAATTGGGGCCCGCTTTGCCCAAACTACTGGGATCGAATATTATTTAATCTGTACGAGTGTTCCTTCAGAGTACATTATCAGACGTAATATATATATATATATATATGTGGGAGTGCTTCAAGCTTTTTAGCCTCGTTCAGTTGGTCTTCTGGACCCAGGTACTGAAGAAGAGACTATATTCGCAATGATGGTACATAAGGCCCTGACTAGTGGCCCTGTTGCAGACTGTTACTGCATGGGGGCAATACCCAAGTCGGTCCATGTGCGCATCGGTTTTGGGCTTTGGCTCGGGCTAAGCGAGTCCAGGTTCGCATTTGATGTCCAATATTCCCAGGGTTTACGGTTTAGGGTTTAGGGGTTCTGGGCCGTGGCGAAGTATCATCTGACAAGCAGCGGAAGACGTTTGGGGAAATTCGTACTTTAGCCTCGCCCTGCTTCAATCATGAAGGCCCCTGTATGCTACACCGCATAACATCATTAACCCCTCTAAACCCTAAACCCTAGACCCTAAACCCTTTATAAGACCCTTATAGTACAACCACGACGGGAGCCCACCTCTGATTTAGAAGCCCGAAACCGACCCTATTCAAAATATAGTAGCGTTAGGGTTTAGGGTTTAGGGTTTAGGGTTAGGAACCCTTTAAAGGAGCCCTTTAAAAGCAACCCTGCCGACCCTGTTCTAAATATAGTAGCCCTCTTAGGAACCTTTTAGAGGGGCCCTTTAAAGGAACTCTGCTGGGAGTCGGGGACCTAGTAAGTCGGTAATAAGTAGACTTATAAGTACCCTAATGGGGCTCCTAACTGGGGTTATGATACATATAACTCTAATAAAATAACTACTTACTAAGTACCCCGACCCTCCAAGTACTCTCAACCCTAAACCCTTTAATTCCTAATCCTTAAATCCTTAAACCCTGAACCCTCAACCCCATAAAGCCCTAAACCCTTAACCCTGAAACCCTGAAGAAGTGGGCTGCAGCAGGGCCAGCTTTCTGAAAGGACTCTGCCTTCCCGCCGAACTCCCACTTCTTCCATGCGCTGAAGAGCCTAAGTCGACTGCAAAGTCTCTCCATCAGGCGCCAATGGAGTTAGGGTTTAGAGATAAGGATTTAGGGTTTAGCGGTTTCGGGGTTTAGTTAGGGTTTAGGGATAAGGATTTAGGGTTTAGCGGTTTCGGGGTTTAGTTAGGGTTTAGAGATAAGGATTTAGGGTTTAGCGGTTTCGGGGTTTAGTTAGGGTTTAGGGATAAGGACTTTGGGTTTAGCGGTTTCGGGGTTTAGGATTTAGGGTTTAGGGGGTTTAGGGGTTTAGGCCTAGGGTTTAGGGGCGATGTTAAGCCCTACGTAGCCTCACAAGGAACCCTCAACGGATAGGCGAATTAGGGTTCAGACAAATCCTGTGAATCGGCAATCGTATCAGGTAGCCTTCCCCGATATATATATATATATATATATATGTATATATATATATATATATCATACAAACATATATATGTGTGTGTATTTGTGAATATATCCACGCACACACACACACATATATATATATATATGGATATACAAACCTATTGAATCGACTCCTCAACCCGCAAAATCTTGCAGGAATCCTCGGAGCTCATGCAGAACCTTATTCAGCAACCCTTTAAACTAATCCGCTGAACCCTGATCAGGCATTGGTCTCTGTCGGCAGCGGAGTCTTGGCTCCCTCCAATAAGGTTTTGTTAGGTTGTAGCTTAGGTTTAGGGTTTAGGGTTTAGGGTTTAGGGTAGGGCCTAGACGGGTTTAGGATTTAGGGCTTAGAGTTTGGAGCATTCTTTCATTCTTCTGGTTTGTTGATTTGTCATTCATGGCTCTGGAGAATCCGCAACACTATTTATCTGCCTAACCATCGGTCTGTCCATCTGTTTATCTAGCCAGCTATCTAACGATCTATCTATCTGTCCGTCTGTCTGTCTGTCTGTCTGCCTGCCTGTCTGCCTGTCTGCCTGTCTGCCTGTCTGCCTGTCTGCCTGTCTGCCTGTCTGCCTGTCTGCCTGTCTGCCTGTCTGTCTGTCTGCCTGTCTGCCTGTCTGCCT